CTAACCACTTGATGTCAATTTGATGTGATCCTGCACTCAGTCTAGTGTTTTTTAGTAAGCTTTTCCCAAAGAAGCCTCAGGTCACCTCACTCAATGACTACCGGCCTGTTGCACTGACTCGTATCATGATGTCAGTGCAACAGGCACTGACAGCTTTGCACACAGAGCACTTTACTCATCAGCAGATTCAGGTGGTTTGTTGATTTGTTCGCCGCTGAGGAGATTTTTGAAAACGGCTGTAGTCCTGATGGCACAGAATGGAAAATGATCCATCCAGGAGAATTTGGAGGAAATTCTGAGGGGCAGTGATGCTAAATAGAGGAATTTATCAGATTTTAAAGAGGATGGAAATGTCACTTGGGTCGGGTCGCGAACCAGTTTTGCTGGTTTGCTTCAGGCCAATTTATACCTCTAGAACCGTCAAATCTGTCTCTGTGCGCGACCCCCTCGCAGAGGCTCTGCATCCGTCGCTGCTCACCTCAAAAAAATCCTGACTACACGTCGGATGGTTGCAAACCTGCGCAGACCTCAAGCGGAAGTGTGCAGACAAAAAGCAGCTGTGATTGGTCCTTGGTACGCCTTTCCGGCTGACTGTGGTCGTGCTTCTCGATTTGGTACCGGGGCGCGCCATTTTTAAAAAAGAGACAGATTTTAGAGCTGCAGAAGCTATACGTCAGAAGCATAAATTGGCTTTTATGGTTATTTAGAATGTTGTAAGGAATCTTTCAAGGCAGTATGTTTATTTCATTATTAAACTGTTGTGGCTGGAATTAAACTTCACTTTTCAATCCTTGAAAGTGAATTGGAAGTTTAGTTAAACATTTTGATTGTGAACAATAAAGGGTCGAATGCAGGTAAATCTTAATGGTGTCCATACGTTGAAATGATTTAACATCATGGTTCCTTTTGTCTTGCAGAGGCCTTTTTAATTTCCTTCCACCTATTCCTTGATCTCCGATCTTTTCAAGGTAAGAACAGTTCACCTCTTAAGCCCCTTTCAGAGCGACTGCAGCTCTTTTGCAACAATATTATAGCTCTCTGTGGATGCACTGTCAAAAGAAAGGGTTGTTACTATTCATGGGTTATTGTGTCCTATCCCTTTACCAGTTGGATCTGTCTCTGCTCAAGAGCAAAAATTGTTCACAGTCCAGCCCTGATTCAATCCTGGAAACTTTAAGTTGATCAAACAGATTTATTTAATCTTCGATATTATTTAAACACAATTAAATTTCTTTTTTCCAATCCGTCTTGTTTGTGGAAGTAATTAGACTTAATTCTAATTCAATTTCACCCCTGTTACAATCAACCTTTTTATTCGCTTCACCGTCTAAGTCCGAGGAAAATCATATTTAAATGTCAAATCAT